TGTGGCTTGATGTACCATCGTTGTAATTATATATAAAACTTCGTCTATACTCTAATAAAAAGTTCCCCAGACCAAAGAGATCATCTTAATACCAAAAAAAAAAAAAAAAACAATATATTATAACTATTTTTAAATCAGCCAATCAGAGTTGACTTATGTGGGGGGAGGGAGGGTACCCCACAGTAAAAAGATATTACGTAATATCTGTCACCACCCTAATGATAATAAAATTAAAACCTAATTTTTGAAAGCTAATAAGACTAAGTTAGAACTAGTTAATAAATCAAAATTGTAGTCTAATACTCAACTCACTCTGAGTTGAGACCTGTAAAATTTTAGGTAAAATTTTTATATTTTATAGTTTGTATTATATAAAAATAAAATGCTATGCAAATAAAATATTTCAGAATTTTAAAGTAATTTGAAATTTTACAATTCTAGCCTGTATTAGCAGCAAACTACTATAATGTAGGCCTGTGAAGCTATATATAGATTCAAAAAATATTTGATTTGCTCATTCTAATAAAACATATTTTATTTTTAATAAACTTTTATACAAACTTAACTTATTTAACTTCTAAGATATACAGTATGTAACTAGCTTGTATTGGATATTGATACCAGAATCTAGAGCAGTATTTAAAATTTGACTTTGTTTCAATATGTGAAAAGTTTAAATATTTTCTGTAAACATAATAAAAATTTAAAAAAAAATGTGTGATATAATAAAATCCACAGATTTAAAAGGAATTTTACTTATAGAATTAATTTTCAATCTGCATACTACAAATTCTGCATATAGATTTTAAACACCGATCTAGAAACATAAATTGGTACTATTTGATTTCTAATTATTTTTATATTTAGTTAGTATTGCAATAAATTAAATTACAAACTTGTATTCTTATAATAACATTCTTCAAAACAATTAGTAAAATTTAAATATTAAATTATTAAAAATATATATTTAATAAAACAAAAAAATAAACTTATAAAATTTTCCAAATTTAAATCAAAATTTATTTAAATTTAAGCTAAATTTTTAAATGCTACTATATCAGAAAGATTTTAAGTTTTTAACCCTAAAATTTTACAGGTTCTAGCCTATAGATAATCTGGGTGATATATATTTAGGCCAACCATTATATTTGAACTCAGACTAGTTTGCAAACTTCAAACTAGATCTAGACCAAACTTAGATTTAACTAAAAAGTCTGAATATAAAAATCTAAGTTCAGTTAGAAAATCTAACTAGACTTAGACTTGACTAAAGTCTAGTTTAAGTCTGGTCTGTAGAAGCACTATACAAGATAGTATAAATCTATAATTTTTTTGATCTTGAGTTAATTTTATATTTTCTAAAGAATTCTTATACAATTTAATGTTATGAACTTGTGAATTTGATTCTTGCAATTCTGTTTGAGTTGCTTAGATTATAGCAAATCTTATAAACAAATAATTAAATTTTTTTAAAAAATAAAATAAAACTAGAGATAATAAAAAAAAAACACAGTTTTTTAAGGATTATTAGCAAACTCCATATTCCAATTTATACTAATCAGAAAATTCTCTTGAATTCACTATAAATTTGCAGATGACAGTGCTATATTGAAAGATATGATTATTTTTTTTTAATTTTGAGTGTGATTAAATAAAATTAATGCTATAGAAACTGTCATAATCTATAACCAACTGTTTTTAATTTTGGATCTTGCAAATATTCTAATGATTATAATTAACTAACTGCTTTAATTTATATTCACCAGCCTTACTCTAGAATAAACAAGAATACTTCTATTATACAAGATTATATTGCTTATACTCAAAAAGAAAAACAAATATATTTTTTGAAAAAGCATTAATAAAAACTTGTTTTGCGCCTACTGCATGTCTATTAAAACCAAAGCGCTTTTTGATAAGAACTATAAATATATTTTGATAAAATATAATTTGTTTAAGAAGAGGTTGAATAAGTGAATAGCAATGAAGTATAATTTTGTTGTTTCAATGTTTAGTTTCATGAATTGCAAACATTTTTGAAAAGAAAAAATTTCTTGACAAAATAGGTATTTATTAGCTATCAAAGTTAATGCTATGTATTGCAATATTGTTATTTGTTCTAATATATATTAAAATTTAAAATTTCACAATTAAAATTTTGAATAAGACTAATTTTAACACCAGGTTAAAATTATAAATTTTAATCGCCTTTTATTTTTATAAAATTTTTATACTATATAAATAAATTATTCTTTAAAGATCAGAGTTAGAATACAGGCTATATTAAGTTAAAGTATAGATTATTTATATATAAAATTAGGTACTGAAAACTTTTACTTAATAGCCGAAAGCTAGTTTTTATAATAAAATTTTACGATATTAACAATTTTTTAATTTTTTCTTAACAATTTTCTTTATTTTGTTACACAAGATCCTGCAATCCAATTGGTAAATTATAGGGTGGTTATATCACTAGGGTGACAAATTAGCAACACTCTAAATTTTTAATTAATTTAATTGGTTGATAATATGTTTTAATTATTATATATGACAAAATCCAATATTGTTATATATGGAATAGAGTCAAATCCACCTATATATATAGTAAATAGCAAAAGTAATACTTGATCTGCAGATTAATATATATAGGTAAATATAGAGGCTTGATTTGCCCCAAAATTATCAATTTTGGTACAATTTTTTTTTTGTTTTTTTGCTTATTTAATATCGAAATTACAAAGCCAAAAAAAAAAAAACTTTTTTATAATATGTCACACACCCAGATGAAAGATATAGAAAAAGGCAAAATACTTGCTTTTATTAAAAATATGAGTGCAAAGCAAGTTGTTTTTAAAAATTAGCCATAACTCAACAACAGTTCAAAGGTTCTTAAAAAAGTACAAGAAGACGAAAAAATATCAAAAACTTATCTCACTTAGGATATCTTCTTGTCCTTAAAAAAAAAGAAAAGAAAGCCATACTAAAAAAAGTATTGAAAGAGAAATACAAACCCCTGTATAGCATTGTCAAGAATTTAAATCTACAATGCAGACAGGAGACTGTAGCCAGAGCCTTGCACAGCTTTGGAATATATTTCTGCATTGCTATGTGAAATCTTTTTTGACTGAGAGCAACATAAACAGATAGAAAGATTGGTGCAAAAAAAATTTATACAAGAACCTGTATAAGTGGTGGCTTGTTATTTTTTCTGATGAAATAAGTATTAAAGTGGTAAACAATCTCATCAGGTTTGAGTATGGTGATATATGGACAAATAGTATAAATATGAGTGTTTAGTGCTAAATTTTAGGAGTGATAGAGTGTTGGTAATGGTCTAGTCATACTTCATGGATGAAATTAAAGGTCTTATGGTTTTTTTTTCTGATTATAAGGATTCCAAACAAAAAATTAACAAAAAAATTTATATTAAGGTTCTTGAGAACAACCTCATACTGTTTATTACCACTGTACATTTATTAGTTAAGTTGAATCTAATATTTCAGCATGACAATGCCCCAATACATAAAGTAACAAAGTGGCTTGATTCAAAAAAATCAATTATATGACTTGGCCAGCATAATCCCCAACCTAAACCTGATTGAGTACCTCTAAAAAGTTGTTAAAGATAATATTTAAGATTGAGAGAACTTTTCTAAAAATGCAGATGAACTCAAAATAGCCATTAAAGAGGCATAGTCAAACTTGGATATGTCAGTTCTTTTGGGCTCTTGTAGAGTCAATATAGCAAAGAATCAAAGAAGTAAAAGCTGTTCATCTAGATATTAGATAGAAAAAAAAAAAAAAACTTTATATAAAGCCATATAAACTTAATTTTTTGGTTCTCATAACCTGGCTAGGTCATATTTTGAAATTTTTTTGAAAAAAATTTTTTATGTTTTAATAGGCAGATGGGATTTCAAATTTTATAAAATTTAAAATTTTTTATATATAAAATTTTTAAATAAAAGTCCGGGTGAGCAGGTCATTTTTTTTGTCCCATGTTATAACCAAAAAATTAACTTTGTATGGCCTAATAGGCAGAAAATTTTTAAATAAAATTTTTTTATTTTAATAAAAATTCAGGCATCACTTTTGCCACCTACTGTACTTTTAAAAAAAGTTGTTGGTTTAAAGAGTCCTGCACTATAATTAATTTTAATTTTGTGTTTTAAACAAACTTGTTTAGCACTACTCTTGCATATACAATTTGTTTATATTTATTTGTCCATATAAAAATTGGATTTTTACACTAAAATTACTTATATAAATTACTAATAAAGATATAAGCAAGGTCTCACCTTAAAAAAATATATTCTAAAAATGATATATAATAAAATTCATGTGTAATTTTCATATAAACACGTGCGTCATTTTTTTCGATGTAACGAGTTCACTCTAACAATACCCTAGAAAATAGAAGCAATTTTACATGATTTCTCGGGCATATATAACCTATTGTTTATATGATTAGGCAGTGCGAAAATGAGATTTATTTTTTTTAAAAAAAAAATTTTACTTTTCTAAAGTAGCAATAATTTTATAACCCACAAAAAAAAAGATAATTTTATAACCCACAAAAAAATGATATATATGCACATTTAATTCAATTTCCTGTGGTGTATTATAAATTGCAGACGAAAAAAGTTTCGCAGCAATATCCCCCGCAATACATTATTTTACTAAACGTTATTATGAATCACTGAAATTTTTATATTACTCGTTTTAACTGCAGTGTGATTACGAATAAATTTAAATTAATATCACTTTAAAAGTATTAAGTTTTACGTTTTCTATTTTTTTCAGTATAAAAGTCGATCAACTGATTTTGAAAAAAATCGACCGGCTAAGCCGAAAATTTGATTAACCGATTTTTTTATTATCGGCCAAAGACGCAAATGCCGATGGTGAATTTGAAGAGAAAATAAAAGACTCGATTTGGTGTTTTGCAATTTGAGGATCTTTTGAAAGACTGTAGAAATGGGGATCAGAAATATAAAACATTATACTGTTGGTAAACAAAATGAACAAAAATTACGTACTGGGTTTGTTTGAAGTTAAATTCGTCATTATCATGCAAAAAATATCTCGATCTCCAATCAATACCTTCAGCTTCTCGAAGTTTGGCTTCATTACGTTGATTGTCCTCAATTATCGTTTTTTCATCCGTAGCGAGATCCAAATTCCTCCCTATTAAGGCATTTGTGACCTTTGACCATAACCTATTTACAAACTATGTTATCTAACGTGTGAAAGTATAATAGATATTTAATTTGTAATGCCTACCGCCGAGATTCGTTTTCTTCTTGCTCTTCCTCTGGAGCTACAATCTTTGGATATATCTTAGACTCCTGAACACTAAATAATACTTCTTTTTTTCCAGTCTAATTTAAGAGAATATAATAAACATATGATCGACAGTTCACCTATCAATTTTATACAATAAATTAAATTATTTACCGTAAGATTCTTAATGTGCATAATGTCTGACCATTTCCCAGTAATTTCATAAAGGCACTCTCCTGTAGATTCTCGCTTTATCTTTCCATAAATAGAGTTATACGATCCTGTGAAAAAGCCCTAATAAATAATATTCATAAGACTTTTGCTCTCAGGACAATAATAAAGAGTGCAGTTGAAATTCTTCATAAACATACCTTTGTCCGAAACTCAAGCTCGCAAACTAAATCATTTTTTTCACATCGAACAGTAGCATTATCTCCTAGTTCTAATACCATTCTTCCGAATAGAATGCCACGTGCATATACATTTGGCATCGTAATTTGGTAAACTTCACCAGGGCGATTAGTGAAAAAGATCTGGGATTCACCTTGCATCAGCGTTGCTGCACTGTTTCCTAGAAATTTTGATTTGGGTCGTATATCACCTGAAATGATTAAATTGTTCTCTGGACTCGCATAGTAATATGCAGAAATTGGTGGATGATGAGACACTTGTTCGGATACAAAGAAGCTCTCAGTATTATCCGGGAATTTCCATCTTGCACGAAAATGTTCGCCTAATACTGGATTATATGGTTTTTTTACACCCTACAATAAAATTTTGTTGAAGATCAACGGAAATCAACGATCAACTATGGATTCATATGTGCTTTAACATATTCACCTTAGGCTTTATATGCCATCCAGATAAGTAGTATCTCACAACGTTTACGAATCGTTGGAGTTCATTATTTTGCTTTGATACTCTAGATGTAAAATTAAATAAAGTCAGATTTAACGTATAAGGATTTAGTTATGACGATAACCTGTTCAACTATACTATTTCGAACATTGATTGTTAAGTATTCCTATTTATAAATCGAACGAAATTTCATTTCCAGTTTTATTATCAAGGGTTAATGCATAATATAAGCCTTCTACCGTGTAGCCCAAAACCTTTTATATGATTTCAAGGTTGTGCTTATTTTTAGTAAGGATCAGATATGTGAGTGAATATGTACGTACCCTAGAATTAACTCAGGGTGACTCATGAAGTCAGTGATCCTTTCTAACATGCTTCGTGGTTCAAGAACAAATGTTGGTAGAGTCACCCTATGCAAATCCATTCCCTTGCGTAGCTGAGAGATGAGTCCTAGCAAAATGCTACGTGGCTCTTCATCAAGAACTTCTGTATCATTTGTACACTCTTCATCGGCCATGTTATATTAAATTATCCGACTTTTATTAACAACAAATATTGCTTAAGTGCTAGAAAATTACTACGTAGAGTTTAAAAATGTAGTATGTATATCATATATGGGGTTCGCCAAAAATAGGATCGTGCATTTTGTTAGTTTGCTATATATGCTAATAAATCTTTTTTAAGTATTTTTATTAATTTTTATTGTCAATCGTTGGGGGTCTAGCTCAGATGGTAGAGCGCTCGCTTAGCATGCGAGAGGTACTGGGATCGATGCCCAGGTCCTCCATTGGTTTTTTTTTTTTTCGCAATTTTCAAAAAAAATATATCTAAAAAACAAATAACATGGCGTATTATTACTTACCCCTTACACTGCAAATTTACCTGGGCGCAAATATCTAATCATATATCGGTAATATAATATGTATCAAAAGTCCAATGTGGATTAGCAATTACATTACAATAAATAAAGTGATATCATGATATTTGGTATTTTGGACGCAAAATTCCCGGTTTGTGATTCGTCACATGACGAACTATCGGGTTTGGGTTACATCATTAATAATGATGCATAATTACAAAACTATTGAAATGTTTATGCGCCCCTAATGTTCGCCCTATATATTTTTATGGTAATGTTTTACGTACGTATATTCAGAAATGTTATGGGCATAAAACCTGTGAAATACTAGAACAGTCGATACTGTCTAATTCAGTGTTGGCAATTTTACCGGCCAAACAAATTTGGTTTGGCCGGTAGAATTGCCAACACTGGTCTAATTGCATACGTATCAACCAGTGTTGTTACTAGCCTTAAGTCCAATAAAAAATTATTAGCCCTAGCCCTCATGTCTAATTGGACAAGTGGCTAATTAACCTTAGTTGTTGTCTACATGTCCAATTGACCAATTAGCCATATGTCCAATTGGACATATGAGCTAGGGCTAATTGGACATATATCTAACTTTATAAATATTTTAATAATCAATAATTTTTTTTTTTTGCAAAATAGTATTGATTAAAGTTGAGGTAAGTTGCATCAGAATTATCCTGTATTTTCTATGTGGTTTGGTTGAATTGGCTTTATTAAAATCATCACAATTTCTATGACGAGTTACAGTAAACGTTTTATTACAGAACTTGCTATTCTGATAATGATGAAAGGGAGAGTTAGCTTGTATCAGTATTATCGTAATTTCTTTCATTAATTACTATAAAAAACACTCACGAACCTATTTGGACATAATACGTAGTTAAGGTTTGTTTTGCATTGAAAGTAAAAAAAGTTTATACAAAACTTGCTCGCTATTCTAATAATCACAATGTGTGGTTGAATTAATTTGTGTTGGAATT